CAGACAACATCAGCAGTTGTAAAGAAAACATTGGTACAGATGGTTTAAAACATTGAACATGAAACAAGAGTTGCTGAATCATCTGTCAAAGTCTTTCAAGAACCGGCTCCAGACGTTACAGGCAAATATGAAACGCGATACCGTCAGGGAAAGCCTAAGGTTCCGGATCGATCTCCTACAGTTGTTGGAATTTCAGTACAGCGAGACCGTGGCTACCGCTGTCAATAGCCGTTGCATCCCGTACGCCTTGATGGTGAAACCAAAGTCTAAAGCCTAGCGAGGGCGGATCCGGAGGGCTTCCGAGTTGCTGTGTGCATCGGCTTTGTTGAACCCGCATTCGGCTTTGTAGCAGATGTTCTTCAGCTTGCAAATTGCCCTAGTTAAAGTTGAATTGGGGAAGACAACTAGGTGGGGCTCAGCTAAAGTCTGCCGGTGGGACGAAAAGGGTTAGCCGGCAGGAATTGCGACCTGCAGGTACAGGAAACAAGGTTCTAGCATGGACAGACCTCCGGAAGATGCAAACCTGAACACATCGCAGAAGAGGTACGAGTTGTACCGTCATTGATCTTTGGGAATGCCAGCATGTTCCTGGAGAAGCTCGAATTCACTGCCCAATGCCTCGAAACGAATAGAAAGTGGAGCGAAGACGAACACCTATAATTGGACTCGATGAGGTAATTCCTGTGTGCAAACGGTCTCCATGAAAGCGGACTACGGCGCATGGATAGCCACCTGGGCGTGTGGATACACCGGTGAAGATTGTGTCCGGAGGTTCGGGCGCCGAGCCTAGCACAGAGGAGCCCGCTAGAGAGGTTCTCGTGAGGAGTAGCGCAGTTGTTATGCAGCCAACGTCATCTACACAACGGGGAGGGGACTGATAGGAGCAGCTCGTTGGAGCTCAGAGGTGTGGTGCGTAAGACGTGGGCCGCCGGTGCGTGGGAGCAGCAGCAAGGTGGAGGTACCGAGTAGTTCTCGCCGATCTGTGGCCAGCCGCCAGCGACCACTGCAGGAACAAGGGGAACCACGCAGCGGCCAGGAACCACTGGGACTATCGAGACTAGAGATGTGTTCAGCTCCGGCGTCGGTGGGAGTTGGCGTGCACAGTCGTGTGCACAGCTGTGGTGATGGTGGAGGATGTTCCCGAGGACCTGCGGGCGTTCTTTCCAGTCCATGGGCCTACTTAGGTAGGCAGCCTTGGCACAACAACACACGTGAGCACGCTTTCACCTCCCGCCTCGGGGAAATCACAGGCCGACGACCGGCTACCCTCATGCATCTGCACAAGAACCTCAACGACGGTAACACCATCATCGGACATTTTGACATCAGTCGGTGTGCTCACATTGCGTCCATGCAGCTGGTGTAGTAGCTGACGGCCCACCACCCCCACACGGCTCACGCCTCAAGTATTGGATCTCATTACAGGCGCATTTCCCAAGAAGAAGAAAGCGTAGAGATAGGCGCTCGTCACACATGTTTGTGGAAATCTTGGATGGAGCCGTGGTACAGCGGCTGATGCGAGGGCCTACAGCCCTTACTGCTGTTGTACGCGACTGCATCACAGCATGATACGAGCAGAAGGACCGTGTTACAACACCGCCGTACCCAGAACGGTCGCAAGCTCAAGGCTATGCTACGCTGGCGGTGCGACTGCGCCAAGGTGGCGCTCTGTGCATGCTGAGTCTCTTGGGGACAGCCAGGAAGGCACATCAGAGGGGTCTCACAACTCACGATAGCCAGCACCCGGTCATCGCTGTCGTGGGGCTCTGAAACATGTTTGGAACCTACCGGGCCCGAGACATCACCACATGGACTTTGACCTCGACGAGGGCTGTTCGCGATTTCAGATCGATCCGCCCACGAGCCCTGTGTAGATTGAGACGTCTGAGTGAGGCGGGGTATCGAGTCCTTGGACACATCGTCGGCCATGGTAGGGGCTCTCTTCGGTTGTTTCAGGTTCCGCCGTCTCACGAGCGAAGATCTGCAGATGGGACGATGCTCTAGCCTCTCGTCTTCTGCTCGGACGCTTATCGCGATCCCTTTCTGACAGTTTGATTGTTCCGCGCCAGTACACGACGACGACATGCGTCAATACTTAGAGTTGCGCTTCTTGTCGACAAGCTTAGCCACAGATCCAGTCCAAAGTGGCAGACATGTTGATACTTAGGCCTTATGCATACCCATGTGCCCCCAGCACCAGGCCTAACCCTGCACGCATTTGCGCCGTGTCCGCCTGAAATCGCGAACCGGCATATTCGGCACTAACAGCACAAATGCTGTACGTAGCTGCCAAAATCATACTCTCCCCGACTGAGGATACCCGCTCGTATTGTCAACATAATTTTACGCGTGCTGTGCTACGAGAGGTTCGTTGTCCGCGAACACAGCAGCGAAGGCTTACATTCCCAGCCACGACACGTCTTTCGACGCGTTGCCAAATCCCCTCGGATGCACAACAACATACGGCCGACATTCCAAGCAAATTGGACCTCACGGCCTCGTAGCATAGCGGGCCTGGACGTGGTCAGAGCAGATATGCAGCAGATTTAACCGTTTATTTCCCTGTAACGTCCAATCAGCGCCCGCTATATCTGCCCCTGCAACGTTATATTGCGCAGGCCGACCTGTCGGGCCGCGTTCACTTGCGCGCTCATCGTCAGTGGCTCACAAGCCTTGTGAAGTCGGGCATCCCCCGTCTCCTGCACCCCTGTTTCCGTCATCCCCCAGCCACTAACAGATGCTCAGGCGCCGTCGCTCAGCGGCAGATACCCATGTCTTTCTCTCCTGCTGGCGCGCAGCGAGCCCTGTCCTGGCTCGTCCTGGATGTCACTAACCTGGTGGAGCACACTGAGCACCTTCCATCTTCTCCACATACTCTCCGCTGCTCGTCCAAGCCGGCCATGTTCCTACATAGTGAGATCATCCCTACATTTGCTGTTACTTTGCCGGCCACAAAGCTTCTTGTTCCCGTGTCACGGCATGCAATACTGCGGCATATGCCAATGATCGCTCTCCAGCAACTACAATCCTTACTCGAATCTTTGCTCGGCTACCTGGACCGTCCACCACTCCCTCTCATTCGCAACCACCGCTTGTCTCACTTCGGTCTGTGCAGTTCGCCAACCTTTACTCGACCCTAACTCCTTGACCGCATCCTCGTGTTATTCCCACACGGAGGGCAGAACCCCTTCATCAGCCGTTGCCCTGCAGTGGTCCGTGTTCAGGCTCTTACGTTCTCTCCTCCCCTGCAAATAAGTTGTCTACTTGACCAGGTACGCATATATTACTCTGGTTGCTATTGCATCTCAACTATACCTTTACCCTCATTTGGCACGCCTGGATCCTAGCCTTGGCCCAAGTTCAGTCATCTCGCCTCGTCCAACCTCGATCCCTCCAACTCAGGTCTTGTGTACCAATGGCAAGTCGTTCGCATACATCACTAACGCCTCCAGCAGGCGTATAACCCGGGCATCTGAACTCACAACATCCGAGCTCGCGTGCGCGCGACAGGTTTCCCCAGATCATCTCATCAACTTCAATGGTTGTTGCCATAACTACATCTGCCGGCCACTTGTGGGGACCTGCACACGCCATACTAGCATTGCTCGGTTCGCGTTGCTTGCGTTAGGCTTTATTTTTCTGGGGTTCGTTCAGGCTCCCAAGCCATGTTTTCGTTCCATAAAACAGATGCCTCCCGGTCTCGACAGTCATCCGTCGACTCTCAGGCCATTGGGCCTACCATTCCTACCGCAAGTTCAGACTTTTGGTCAGAGCAGTACTCCACGCATTCAACTCATCCTGGCATGCATTCGCCCGAGCAACACAGAGCCCATCCGGCCAGACGAAGTTCCGTGTTCAATCTACGGTCTAGAAGCAATACTGCGACATCTATGACCCCTTCGCTGTTGTCTCTCAGCCATTCCGAGATGGCTGATCATGAAGCTTCTTGGCATGGCTCACCACCTGGACATCGACACACCAGCAACAAGAGTCATAAAGAGTCTACGGGATCTAGGAGGTCGTTGTTCCGCGGGAAGAAGGGCAAGAGGCTGAGCGAGACGCCCGTGATAAACGTCGATGAGTTCGAAGGGGACGTCAGCGAAAGACGATCATCAATCTTACGGAAGGGCAAAAGAAGCGAGGATGCTAGTAAGTAATTGTCTTCCCTGATCCAAGGCCCTCTGCTTATCATGACAATAGGTACGAGTCTGATTAGCCGTATCTCGAGCCCGTTCGACTTTCAGCACCTTTCTCACACCGACCGACATCAAATAGCTGCTCTCGAACAGCAGTTGCCCGTCACACCATCCGATGACGTCCATTTCAGGAACTTCTCCTCTGAAAACTTGGCAAATGGAGAAGAGAGATCCACGTCTGCTCTAGGCTTCACATCTCCCCCTCGCAGCCCAGAACCTCGTCACGATTCCGAAACTGTCCCCCACTTCCCAATATCGCGACGACCCCTTCGCCTAGCCCGATCTATAGAGAGCTTCTCCCAACCTAGCCCTCGGAAACATACGCACACCTCGTCGATACAGTCGCCCCATCTTCCCTTGGGGCCCGCCTTCGGTACACCTGAGTTCGCGTACGAAGAGCCTGCTTCTGGTCCGCGTAGGTTGTCGCGGTCGAAGCGAGAGTCAGGTATCTGGGACTCATTTGCTCTCTCTGCTGTGTCCACCCCGGACATACTACCTGAGATATCAGAAGATTCATACTTTGGCCATGCAGTCACCACGCCTGATGATTCAGCCATTCACGCAACCACACCGCCATCCTTTAGTCCTAGTCTCGCAGATGTTGTCGAGGAACCAGAAAGATTCGTCAGCCCAAGACCTGCACCACAGCCCCCAATGAAGTCCCCGACTTCGCCGAGATCGCCTTACTTTGGATCGTTTTCCTTTCAAAATCCGCGATCTCCCATTACCTCTAGATCACAGGGTAGAGGTCAGTCTCCTGCTTCACCGAGGGCTGAGCCTTCAGCCTCACGACCTTCATCGCAAATGTCTGACACGCTGGGCTCATTTGGCATGCCAAGGAGGATGTCTATTCGAAAACCTTATCAGCGTCGCCAGTCAAACACATGGCGCGCAATAGAGGAGTCATGGGAAGAAGATGTCGACTATATCTACGACAACGCTCTAGAAGCTGACTGTGACTTCGAATGGGATCGAGTATCTGATGACGGTGTTCGCTGTTGCGACACTCCTTCTGCTGAGCAAGCCAATCGTCGCAACTCCAGAATCACCTCCGCTGATCGAGAGCGTTTCGCCTCTGACAATTTCCGCTCATCTTTGCTGGTTCCCAGCACATCGAGTGTGCCAGAACTGGTTCCGACTTCTGCGATATCCACATCCACCCTCAGCACTGGCCTGCCACCGACACCCTCAGGATTCTTCCATGCCAACCGTTTCAGCGGCGACACTGGCTTCATGCTAAGCCCGTCCCTTCTTGTCCCGCAGGAATACAAGGATACACGAGAAGTCACATATGAGGACTTGCTTGACGAGTACGCTGCGTCCGACCGGCACTTTCCAATGCTCGACGCCGGTCGAAGCACGACGAGCTCGGCGCGTAGCAGTCACGTCCGACTAAGTAGGCGAAGCTCTTATGACAGCAGCCTCATGTCCTCTTCTCAGAGCTGCGGTCTTTGGAGCTCCCCTGTGAGGCGCTCGGCAAGCTCTGCCGGCAGTGTCCCGGAGCTGATTCCGTCCCGTCGTAGCCGCAAGTCGCTTGGCTTCAGTCTTGCAGCTGATCAGTTTTCAGAGCAGATTGCGTTCCTCAACGAAGACAAAGAGGACGATGACATTACGCCACCAGGGCGTACACTGGAAGGGCGAACATTCTTCGCTTCAGACGACGAAGCGCCTCAAGATGAGGAGCAATCTCGCAGCTCCGTTGAGACCGAGCTCAGAGCCTCGCTTGATTTGGCTCGACGTGGCTCACAGCGTGCCAATCACTCTACTGTCGAAGAGGAGCTCAAGTCGTCGCTCGACCTTGCGCGCCAAGGGTCGCAACGTTCCACCCGTGCACCAGCGCGCCAGCACAAACCCGCCCTGTCTGAAGGTGCCGCCAAGCTCCTTTCCGTCTCTGCTCCGAAAGAGGATCAACCAACCAAGCTACGTAACCGCGCAGCGACCACCGCGCAGTCTCGCTCCCCTATGTTGTCTCTCTTCCCAACACCCCCACGCAACATATAAAATACTTCGCAGATGTAAATCAAGCCATGACCATCAGCGACCTCACCCACGACGCACACAGTAATAACTCCATCCACCCCGCGTCCCTGAATCGAAGCCCAGGAGGCTCATGAAGCATGGCTGGCTATGCTTCATGTCACGCTATCAACGACACACAATTGCATTCGATGTACATATTGACGAGTCATGTTCTCTCTCATCTTACATATCTACTAGCAGTCCCATCATTGACGGAAGACTAAAAGTCGGAAGGTCTCTTTTTATTCTCGCGCATTTCGGGTCCCTTTGCGTCAGCTTTTCACCAACTCGCTTGCATGCATTTTTCGGCGCACCTTTGTCTCATTACATAGACCTATCTTGCCATATCCGCGCACAAATTATCTCCTATGTTACAGAGGAGAGGAAACTTTCGCAAAGAGCGCGAGAAGTAATTACTAGCTGTTTTTGGAACCATCACACTCGACAGTTGTCACAGTCGATCTTGCTCTCTTTTTGAAAGATGCTTGCGAGCGTTGCAGTACAAATCAAATCAAACATTTCAACACTTCTACATTTGTAATATTCAACGCTTCTGCGTGTTACTTGCCCATACTCAGCTGCGGTGGACCACGTAGGTACATGGTGCGTCACCCTGACATACACAACTCCCTGTGATTTCGTCGCCACCGTTTCAACGATCCACAGATCCGACCCTTACGATCCGCGCCGCAGCTCTCCATCGGATTCGCAGGCCCGCCCTACATGAGCTTGTCCGCCCGCGCCATTGGCGTAGTACATGCAGGTTGGACGGGAACTCAGGGAAACCTTGGAAGCAATACCGTCACTTGAGCGCGACGCGACGTCACGTCATCAATGTGAACGCGCGCAAGCCTGAATGAGCAACACGAGGGTTTCGCATAGCCGCTAGAAGACGTGCAGTGTAGTCCGGATAGTTCAACACCTGTTCCCCTGATAGAGCATGGGTTTGAACTGGTCTAACGTGAACTGCGCAACGGGACCCGTTCTCCAGCCTTTTGTCGCGTGCTTTCCATCTATGCCGTGTTACCCAGAAACTCATTTGGCTACGAAATGGTGCAGATTGACGCAACGCCGCAATTAATTTTGGCGGCTGCAGCGTATAGGCGCATGTGGCGAGACGCAGCGCGTCGTCCTGAAGGGGATGTAAACAAGTGGGTTTCCCGTCTCAATTGGTTACGGGGCCGATGCCTCGAGGCGGACTTTTCGCAATGAAGTCGCCCAAAGAGACTGGTGTCGTGGTACCGAATGACTAACGACAGACACATGCAGTGGAGATTTTTGTGTTGGTATCGGAGGTGACTTAGCTGTTGGTGGGTCATCGGCGTCTAGCCCTCTAAGGACCTTTGACGGTTTTGGAAGCCATCAGATCGATCAGATAGTCAGTCCACCGCGGACACGCGACCGTTTGGGAAAGCATGTTAAAAATGGTTACGATGGCCGCGGCGTCAAGGGCTTTTACCCTGCACTCTGTTCGCCTATGCACCCGCGTATCGCAGAAACTGGGGAGGCGAGCAGCAAAGCGCACATACTGATCTGACAAATACCATGTCCTTAATGTTGGGGTGGTAATAGTAAGGATACTGAAATAGGAAGCAGTCCGGGAACGATCCACTCTATCCACATGGCAGCTCCACCAAAGCATCCATTTTGAAGGTGAGTACTGACGAACTTCTGCTCACCGGAGCATAGACTCGATCCGGTCTTCCACCTATACTGCCGCTCTATGCGCAACCAACCGCGCCTAATACCAACAGATTGCAAATGCAGGAACCACATCGTCCTCCATCCGAACCCCGGAATGAAATGCGCGCAAGTCCACAGCGATACCGAACCTAAGACGATCGTCCGGGTAAAGGTCTTCAGAGACCCCGGCCACATGCAAGTCAACTACCAGGGCATACACACGGAGCGGGACGTTCGTTATAGGTCCTGCTATGGGCCAAGGCGTAGAGAGTGTGTGGCTCGGGTAATAGAGAGGCCGTTTGGAATTACCCGTGCCGCTGAACGTGCTCGAAGCGAAGTCGGTTGTGCTCTTACAGGGGACCAGTGTTTTATGTGCTCCGCAGGCATCAGTAAGCGTGCGCATGCATATGCACGTGTAAGCGACTTCAGGATGACATTGTGACGAATCGAGGGTAGAAGCGCGGTGATCGTCCACAAAGAGACGGAACGACTAGCCTGAATATCGTTCGAGATGCTGTTTCATGTGCGGTGGAACGTTTGTGAGGCTTCCTGAGGCATTCATTCAGCCTATGCGAGGTGTATGGACTTCGCCGGTTACTCTTTTGATCGACAGCTGCTGCATTTTCCATGTCCATCTCCAGAAGAGTAAGTACCTTGACTTGCATTGCATCTGATGAGTTGTCTTCGCCCAGGGCAACCATGACGATCGCGCCAGTTCCAACAACTTCTGTATGTCTCTCTAACTTCCAGCTAGCTTTAGTGTCAATTTAGATATTAGTCCAGCTTAAAGCAGCTTCTGTACAATAGCTACACGTTAAGTTGTAATGATTAAGTAACAAAGATCCTAACATCAAGGCCGCGCAGCTGTGCCGCAGTATAATAGTAGAGTTACTGCGATTGATACTCAATGACCTGCCGATACAGCATGCTGTACTAGAAACATCTATACGCCAACTTATCATGACAGCCTTCCAAGGTGATAACATCGATGGGGCGTTCGTTCTAATGTTTCCTCGAGTACTACACCACAGTATGAGCCTGCAGTCGTGCTTTCTTTGCGTTGTTCAAGTCGGGCTCGTAGCTTCATCCTCGCTAGTAGACCCGTCTCTACACAACTCAGTCTTATCGTCATTCCTTTTCGTCTAATAAGGTGAGGGTTTGAGGCAATCCTGGAAGAAATACCTAGGTAGATATGTCGCACTGCGAACCTTACCTAGGTACGCAGACATCAGCGCTTGTCATCAACAATCGACCCAACTTTCGACAGATTCGGATCGATGAGTCTTATTCAAAGATAGCGGAACACGTCGTAAGGTAGCCGGCGGGATGTCGTTCAGCTTCTCAAAGACGTGTATCGTGAGTGTCAGAAAGATCTAAGTGTCAACTAGTTGCGTGCTGCGTCTGGGCGGTCTTATCTCCGATGTCGCATACGTCATCAGTGGCCAACACTTTCGCGACGCGACACTCTACTTTCATACGCCTTGCCATGTGGACCGCGCCTACTACTTGATATATCTGGAACCCCAAATATCACTTCTGGTCACAGTTCGCGCCCTTCATTAGACCTTGCACGCCCTCTCAAGTTCCTTGGTAGACTGCAATACAAGCCGCGCATCATGGCCTTCCGGATGAGCCGCTTTGTACCCGGGCCTGCCCGCTTTGTACCCAGGCCTTCACGCCTCACACCGCGGCGTCTTTTGTTCATCACATCTGCGGGCGTACTTTTCTGGTTCTTGTTCTTTAGCTTGACCCCAATTACCTCGCCGCTTCCGCCTTATACCGGACCCCATGAGGTTGGCATACTGGATGTTGAGACAGAGATCCAAAAGAGAACCATCCATGACGCGATACTGAAAGCGACTGGGGAGAAGGCTTTCCAACTGGATACGCTGGCCATCACCTTATATTACCCATCCTCTCTGCCTCTAGCGTCGCCTAGCCAGCGACCATGGGCACGACCGTGGCTTCCTCAACCTGTCTCGCTTATTGGCGAAGGCTATGCTCGTCTTGCCGGAGTGTCGAAATTATCTTCGGTCTTCACCTTCGGTCTCTGGCTCCTTGGTTCAAGCACAGTCATTCCAGGTGTCGTTGATGCACCAATCCTTTCCAGTGCTGAGCAAATTCTGGGCGAAGATGGTAGTGGTGCAGGCGAATTTGGAAAGATCATGAGCGCAGCAGAGCAAGAACATAAAGAGTTAAAACGAGGCGACGGTCTTGGAAGTTTGCCCTGCGTTGTCTTTACGCATGGCATGGCAGGAATGAGTCAGAGTTATGCACACTACCTGGGAAGCATTGCAAGCCACGGCTACGTAGTCGCTGCCGTCGAACACCGTGACGGTAGCGGACCCGGTACCATCGTCCACCATCCTGATGGTACGGAGCGAAAAGTCTGGCACATGAAGCTCAAGGACCTAGAAGCCGATCCGCCGATGACCGACCTCGACCTCAAGGCCGCACAGCTCAACTTCCGTGAAGCTGAGATCAGCGAAACCATCAAACTCTTTGCGCAACTCAATGCAGGTGACGCACCGGTCGTGAACCTCAAGCCCGACTCACCGCGGAATGCTTTGCCTGGTTTCAAGAACCGCCTCAACCTGTCAGCAGTCACAGTCGGAGGTCACTCATACGGCGCGACGGGGGCTATGCAAGCACTGAAATCTGCTGGCTCAAAGACAATGCCTATCAATGGTGGTATTGCCTTAGACCCCGGCAAGGGATCTGGACCCCTGAACAAGGACATCGACGTACCGATACTGGTCATGCAGAGCGGAGAATGGACAGAAAAGCAGACGGCTTTCTACGACGAAGGATGGCACTTTGAGGCCGTGAAGAATATCATCGATAACGTTAAGGTGGGGTGGTTCATGACCTTGTTGGGTACCGCTCACCCCTCTTGTACCGATGCGCCTCTTATCGTTCCTTGGATCATGAAGATGGTCACTGGTACGACGCTAAGTAGCAAGGTTGCTCTCAAGGAGTACATCGACGCCTCGGTCGCCTTCTTAGAATACCTGCGGACGGGCGAGAAGAAGGGGGTTTTGGAGAGTGGTGTCACGAACGCTGGAGGGCCTTTCACACACGATAAACCACATGGTAAAGTCCAGGGCCCGGACGGCGCTGACTGGGAGGTTCACACTGTTCCGAAGTCGGAGTAGGCTGCGCATCTTTTTGTAACACTATAATACTACAGCAAGTAAACATGCTTTATCCACCTCTTTGTGCGGTACCAAGCCTTAAGCTGATCCACTCTGTCTCCATGGTAGATTACCTATACCAATGACCGTCCATTCCCTAAGCTC